CCCCAAAACCCCAAAACCCCAAAACCCCAAAACCCCACGATACAATATAATTATTGAAATATTTATTTTTGATTCAGCAGGTATGGAGGCACTAATACAATATAGACATGGATACTTACTTAAATTCAAATCATTTGCACAGGTGAGTTTTAAATAAATTTGAAATTTTGGATGATCGATAGGGGAATAAGTGGTTTGAAGATTTGGATATTTTTGGATGTTTATGCTTTGAAATAGCTTGAAGGGGAAGAAAACTAAGAGAATCATATTTTCAAATCATAATAATGAAGGTAAGACCTAATCACTCTTTCTTTCCTAAAAAAATAATAGAAAATTAAACTCCCATAATTGTACTTAAATCCCCATAAATTAATTCCAAAAACCTCAAACTCACTTCTATCAAAAATAGACATCCACCGCTCATCAAGCCTCAATCCCACTCAGAACCCATCATATATCCCCTCTCTCAAATCCCTCAAAACCCATACCACTCATTTCAATGCTAACCCCCAAATTTCATCCCAAAAGACACCTGCTCCACTCAAAAACCCAACTCTCTACAACGTATCCCCTCTATAACCCCTCTAGAGATCCAAATAAATCAGAGTCCTACCTGACCTCTAGCTACTTCAACCCCTCTGTTCTCTCCAACTACCGGTAACCTCCTTCCTTACCTCTCTAGAGCTGAGAACAGGAGATCCATCCAAAGAGACCCCCATATCACCAAACACTCTACTCGTGATGCTCACTCAGAATCAGTCAACTCCAGTCTCCACCAAGAAGAATACCTCGATCCTTCCTCTACTAAAGCTGATCCCTAAAATCAGGACTAGACATGCCACTTCTTTAATAAACCCTCTTAATAAAACTGAGGCTGACCTTCAAGGAAGCTTCCTGAACAAAATCAAGAAGTAAGAGTTTTAAAATAATTACAGACAAGAATATGATAAAAATTTACAAAAACAGCCGAGGAGATATATTAAATAATGACTTTTTGAAGGTTAGCAGAGAATTTAAAGTTTAGAATAACCTAGGGCAAACATTTAAAATAAAGCCAACAAATAACATCTCTAGATTTATTGAGAGATTAAACAAGCGCAAGAACGACAGATCTCTGAGACATCAGACCTCTACAGCAAGCCTTGAACACAACAGCTGTAGCATGCCTACTGAAACTAATGATGAGGTCTTATTCAACCTCAGATCAGTTCAACAGCCATATATAAAAGAAGATCCTCAATCCAAGACGGATGTGAGAGGAAGGATCAGGAATCTACCCATCAGAGGAATCACTAAATCTAAAAAGTAAGTTGTCTTGTTTACTCCAGACATAATTTGTCGAATGATTACTCACACTCAAAAGAGAGACCTCAAATGCATATGAAGTTTTATTTAAATAATTTCTCAAAGGTTAATAAGAAGAAGTCCCTTCTGGTTCCTCTGCATGATACAACTTCTAAGGTCAAGGCTGAGGACATATTCAGAAGAACAAACCCTAATTTCAAAGTACTGTTAGCCTAATATTGTAGATGAGCAGTGTATTCAACGCCAAGAAGGTAAATTCATTCATAATTCTAGATAATCTGCGATACCACAATTACTGATTATGGATACTCCAGTAAATGAGGATATCAGCCTGACAACCCAAGCAAGGAGAACCAAGACTCTCCGATAATCCTGCCTAATTTCTGAAAGATTGAAAAAGGCTATTTACAAGGAAATATTCATCTCTTTGGCATCTGAGATGGCCATGGGAAGGATGGACTAAAAATCAGCAGTTTCATCGCAAAAGAAGTCCCAGAGAAACTGAAGGATATTCTATCTAGTGGGAAAGATCTATATCAAAGCATAACACTTGCAGTAAATCAGGTGGAGAAAGAGCTATTTGAGAGCAGGAAAGTAGACTATACTCTTAGTGGAACTACCTGATGCCTGGCAATTATCAAAGAATCCATGCTATATTTTGTTAATATCGGTGACTCTCGAGCCATCTTCTTCCCAAATTCAATGGTAAGGAATTTCGGTTCTGAACTATAGAAAAGTTTTACATCAAAGAAGCAGGAGATCTTCTCAACAACAGATCATAATTGAAATATTGATAAAGAGTACAAAAGAATTCTCAAAAGTAATGGGCGAGTTGAGAGAATAAATGGTATTGGACCCTTACGGGTCTGGCTTAAGGATGAAAACCGCCCTGGTCTAGCCATGACTAGAAGTATAGGAGATGAAACAGCAAAGAAAATTGGAGTAATCTCTACACCTGAGATTACTATCCACCCCTTTGATACCAAAGAATCTACTTTGATAATAGGCAGTGATGGCCTCTTCGAGTTTGTGAACAACCAAGAATTAATTGAGAAATATAATGATCTTTATTCCACACATGGTAAGAGTTCTGCTCAGGAGATCTCTGAAGAATTAGTTGCTACATGCTCTAAAACATGGCAAAAGAAAGAAGAATACATAGACGATATCAGTTGAATCGTAGTGAATTTCTCAAGTATTTTGTAATTCTTATCCAAATTCAAAACATTTACTCAAGAAAGGGGTTTTGGGGTTTTGGGGTTTTGGGGTTTTGGGGTTTTGGGG